GGGACAGAGTTTGAGGAAGACAGTGAGGGAAATGTCAGATGAAGCAATTAAATGTAGCCAGTTTATCTATAAGAGAAGAAATAATGTCAGTTGGGGGCCAGCAGGGGGAACTACTAAACAGGGCACATAACTCCTTGAGATCAGGTGGAGAGATCCACTTCCTCTCAGGAGGAAATCCAGGAAGAGGAAGTATTTAAGTGTGGGAGTGGCCTATTTGAATCCATTTTGTTTGAGGCCATGCGGCAAGGTGAGTGTGCTTGCTGATCCTGTAAGTTCATTTAGCTCCTTTAACTTTAGCTTATATTGTAGTTATGCTATGTAGCGTGTGAAATAGAGTATGGTGAATGTGCTAGGAAAGGTAGTATCAGCCCTGTTTCTACCTGGAGCTCGCATGTACGGAGCCTGGGTTTGGTTGAAGATGGCAGTGCTGTTTGGGCTGAGAAAGCCATGCGTAAGTAAGGAGGAAGTCCAGGAAGAGGAAGGTTATTTAAGTGTGGGAGTGGCCTATTTGAATCCATTTTGTTTGAGGCCATGCGGCAAGGTGAGTGTGTTTGCTGATCCTGTAAGTTTATTTAGCTCCTTTAACTTTAGCTTATATCTGAGTTATGCTATGTAGCGTGTGAAATGTATGGTGAGCTAGGAAAGGTAGTATCGGCACTGTCACTACCTGGAGCTCACATAAACGGAGCCTGGTTTGTTGAAGGTGGCAGTGCTGTTTGGGCTGAGAAAGCCATGTGTAAGTAAGGTAAAGGAAGTTATTGGGTTGGTGCAGGGAGGGGAGCAGTGAGACCTGGCATTAGGGAAGTGTCTCTGGGACGCTGGAGATCACTGTCTAGCCTCCTGGAGGTGTTGTGGGACCAACTAGACGAAACAGTGGTGAAAGGAGGTTCCCACCCAATGACCCCAAAGACATGCTAGTTATCACTGCTCATTGGTTTGTATAGTTAAGTCTTTCCATATTAGCTTATCATAGGACTTAGGTTTTTCACTTGAGTGTTGATCCTTTCTCTAGAGCACAAACTTCTTGTGTTTATTTGAACATGATGAGAAGAGAAAAAGTTGAGTCTTGACCTTTAAAACAGTGGTTGACAAAAAATTCAGTGAACATTAAATAACACTTTTTTTTTAAGCATGTCATTATAACATTCAGTATTCACAACCAGGTGACATGCTGACATGCAGCAAGGGGCCGTGAGCCGGAATCGAACCCACGGCTGCTGCAGCAAGGCAGTGCCTCTGTACATGGGGCGCCAGCACTATCCACTACGCTACCGACGCCCCGGAAATGACTTTTATAGACATCCTTTAAAACATTCACTTCATTCACACTGATGTCCAGTGAAATTCTAACATGGTAGTATTGTTCTGTATGGAATGTAAGTAACTTAATTGACATAACTACGTCATGTAATGTGTAGTAACGTACGTACGTACACGGACGTAAGTACATTAAGGGGTAGTACATACACACACATACATGTGTTTTTTGCGCCCTCAAATTCTTTGTTTTCAATGTAGACACACAGCAGGTGCACTCCAATTCCAGGGCAATGCAGTCATGTTACAAGGAATAACCAATCACGGCAGACAGATATCTTTCCCTTCTTCTGTAAAAAACAGTCTGTGATAAATATGGAAAAGTTGATCATTTTGGTGTAGAGCTACCAGAGCTTTACATCTGTCCCAGGGATAATATACCCACACACTTATAAACAGCACTTGGAAGAAGATCAGCTCTGCACTCAGGATTTCAGGTGTATGGGCTGTGCTATGGTGCTTGTTAAGGTTTCTCAAAAAAGGCACAAAAGTAGCACCCAGTGCCTGACCTCGTGTTTTTAAGGCAAGACGCGGCATGTGTGGCCCAAAGCTGGCACAAAAACACTGCTCATTGCTAACCAGGAAATTAGTGCGTCCACCATGACAAAGGATCCTTATTGATTTTCCATTGCCGTTGCATGCACATGATTTTGACACAAAACATGCCACCTTCAAATAATGCAATGTTAAGAGGCTGTGGCTATTTTACATATTTCTGTGAGATCATGTTGATTTTGCAGTTGCTCATGTTGGCTCAAAAAAAAAAAAAAACGAAGGACACAAACAGCTTCTACACTACACTACAACAATTTTTTCTTAGCTGCTGTTTCGAAGGTCACGAATAGACTTTCAGCTCAGAAAAATGGACATTTGAGCATTTTCAGTATAATTTCATGGTAACTGGGGAACTCCATTTGCTGAGGAAAATGATCAATACAAATGCCAATAAATGAACCTTAGTTGAGACTGTTTGCTCAACATAATTGACTGTTTTCTCCCTCAGTCAGATATCACAATCTCAACTCTTCTTACATCTCACATACGTGCTGAGCAATCAATGGGCTTTACATTAAATCATCAAACTGGTAAAACATGGTGTTGCTCTGGAAATGTCAGATTTCTCCAAGGCTGCCAAAATCAGTTTCTCAATTAATTTGAGGTGAGAAATAGGCCATTGAGTTGCTGATATCTGTTACACTTAGTATAAATACTTGCTTACAAGGTTTAGATGTTTGAAGAGTTGAGTCACATCATCACAGATTGCTCTGCCAGCCATGTCGTGGTGAGTCACTTCTCAGCATCTAGAATGTTGTCGTGAAACTGAGCCTGTGAGTTGTAGTAGTAGCCTGGCTTGCCAAGGTCACTTCTAATTCTTATATTGCAGTAACCCTAGACTGTTATGTAAAGGATGAATGGATTTGAGAAAACAATGGCTATGGTCTGGCAAGCCTCACATAATACGTGTGTACTTTACCTTTATTTGTCAAAGGCAGGTTGCTCTGTTTCTGCAGTGCACTGTCAAATTTCCAAGTTGTGTCCAGTGGTGCCACTTTAACCCCGGCGTTGTCTTTTCTCTGCAGATGATATGGAAGCCATTCCAGTCAAGCAGTTCATCAAACATGTCTCTGAACTCTACTCAAATAACCAACGTGGATTTTCTGAAGATTTTGAGGTAAGAAGTGAAGTCTTTTATGTGGAAGCTATGGGTGGGAATCTCTAGGCACCTCATGATTCCATTCCATTTCAGAGGGCTACAGTGTGATTTTAATTCAATTATTGATGCTTCTTGATGCAATGGATTTTGATTTTTATGTATGAACAATTTTTGGCAGATGCTGTTTGCACCCAGTGTGGAATAGCCAATGTAGCTATTTATACCCAGGTGTATATTCAGGACGTCCTAGCAACTTCAAAATATGACAACACGAATGGGTCTTTGTTTGTGCATTCAGCAGCTTTATAAATTCTAAAATCAGAAAAAAATAATAATCGTAATGGGTTAACTACTGATATTAACTCACACAGGACACAAACCCCAGTCTCCTATTTGAAATTCTTGAGCTTGCCACAGTCACCCACCACATATCGCTTTCTCCATAGACTGTGTCACCCTTTTGTTAAGTCACCTGACTTTATTGCAGTACATTTGTGTTTTTTCTCAATAATCCACCCACTCTCATTCCAAAGTCATCAAATACCGCTGCTTGGTCAGTGATTTCTGTGTCAGACATTGAGAAATTAAAGCCAACCTTTTGTGGTGGTATGATATGCTGCAAGTGGCGTCAGACCATAACACCACTGGAGCGTGTCAGTTAGAAACGCCACTAGACAACAACATAACTTAAGGAGCCAGAAAATCCCCATAGGGCGGGACCAAGGGAAGGTGGATGGGTCCAACAAACTCCGGACCTTCACCCAGGAGTGCAGTGTTTGCTTCCCATAAAAATGTTGAGCCACACCATGATGGGGTTTTTTTTGTTGTTGTTGTCTTGTGTTGCCACTTTTGCATTTGTCGCACAAAATGTAAATACAATGTTTTACTGACATTGTATATTTGTTTTGAAAAAGACTGTATGGATATTGTACATGATATGGCATCCCAGTATGTCAACAAAAGGCACATCCAGGATACCTAGTGTAACATATGGAGACATCAGAAGTCCACTGACCATGCAGCGATATGTATTGAGTCGGGAGTGGAAATATTTGCAGTAATTTACCATTTTAATCTCAGAGGATATCCGAGATTGGCAAGTACTAGCCCTAACCAGGGCTCCTAATTCTAATCGCTTCTGACCTCGATGTGTCATAGTGACAAGTACTAGCCAATCACAGCATGGATTGGGATCCTTAATAACGCATTGGGTGTAAATAGCCAAATATCTGCGGTGTGACTATTCTCACTAATGTGCATATAGACACTATCTTCATTTTTTCTCACGGTGTGACTATTTGCTACTTCTAAAACATAACATACTTGTAGTGATCCATAATTTAAATAAACAGATGAATTCATTCGCATTACCTTTTATTAATACAATAGTAGTAACACACAACATTGAAGTGAGAGTCTCTCTCGATGGGATATTTAAAAATAGTGATTTAGTGCAGTCCAGTTAGTCCTTCTCAGGCAAGCACAGGGGCTTAGTGTTGCTGGAGCACACAGGAACAATGCTCTGTCAAGCTTTTTTTTCCTCCAAGTGAGGATTAAAATGTATGCAGATAAACAGAACAGGTTTTACCAAGTTTCTTTTTTATCAAACTCGTGCAAACTAGCAACAGTAAGTGGGGTGGGACTTTGGATCTGTGAGATTACAGCTGTAAGGAGCGTACAGCCTGGACTGTACACATTGTTTCAGGTGATCATAATGACGAGAACTGGGCTCTAAAATTAAAAATATTGACTCTTCTGCACTGAGACATAATCTTTTAAGAGAAAATTACGATGCATCTGAGAATCTATTTTTCCCACCAACCCTATTGCAAACCAAACACAACAATGCAATCATGCTGCAGTTCTTAGATCTGTATTTCCTAAGCTCTTCGTCACCTGATCTTTGCTGTTTCAGACTACACCAGTCCTTCAGTACAGTTTGGAAACACACCTGCACATGAACACGCTCGTTATCAGATTCTGAGGGCCAGGCTGTGATAAACTTATGAAAGAATGTGCAAGAGCAGGTTACTACCACAGATCCTGGCACAGTCCACTATGTCAAAACACAAGTGGCCATTATCTTTGTTCAACTGTGTTTGTAAAGCTCTAAGTAGTGTATTATTCACAGTAGATCAGTATGTACCTAGAACATTCAGATGTAGCAGATCACTGAGAGATATTGCATCATTAATCAGAAGTGTTCCCCTATTTAATCTTAAGGGGGAATAAAATATGCTCTCTCTACTGTCTAAATACACTCCCACACCAAATAAATATTGAAAGCAGAGAGATAATGCAGGCCAAAAAGCTGCATACTCAACGACTCTGGTTTTCGCAGAGAAAACGAGAAGGAAGTTTCAGTGATGGGCAATTTAGTTTAGTTATAACCCTTGTATGCTCCATCACACCAGCCAAAGCTCCCTCTGCAATTGTGGTCTGTGAAAATATCTTGCTCTTTTCTCTTTTTTCCATCCTCGCTTGTCGCTTTGTTTCCTGCTTTTTCTCCAATCTCTCTGCATTCCTGGTCCATGCCACTCCCAGAAAGTGGTTAGACTGGACCCCCTGAAAGAGTAACACTTCCAGTGTCGCCCCTCCCCCTCTCCCCTATGGTTTAGGCTTGATGGACACAGGAAAAGTGCTTTCAGAAGGGAGCCCCTTCTCAAATGAAACCATTCTCGCTATCCCTGCTGTCCCAGTTTCTTCTCCTTTAACAGAGTGGAGTCAGGGAGGCTGACGGCATTAATCATTACTAATCAGCCGACATTGACATTGTAATGGCAGTGTTGTCATGTAGCCAAATAAATAAAAGTATCAGTGAATGCTCCACTAAATTAATGATATAATTCAAACATGCTCGGTTTGAATGTCCCCATCCTGCAGTTATCATGGATAAAGATGGGTGAAATGAAATGAAGTCTACACAGGAGGCGTCCAGTACACAGCATGACATGCACGTTACCTTTCTGTTGGCTTCTACACTGGCCCAGTCGCCAGAAAAAATGTTGATATTGTATGTTTCTGACAACCATGGATACCTTACACTTGCACATTATTGAACTGATAAATTGAAACTTTACATACAACACTGTGGTTTATGTGAGGTTATAGTGAGAAAAAGATCATGTTTTGGCTTAAATTACCCGGATTCGGGGGCACAATCCCTGCTGGAAAGGCAGCGATGTCAGTAAAATAACAACCGCCTTTCATGGCACTATCCCCACTGAAAAAACAGCAATGGGTCATTTAAAAGCACCCACATTTAGTGTCAGAAAGCAACTGGAATCACAGCAATGACTCACTAAAAAACAACCCATTTTGTTGTTTGTTGGGCTCAAACAGTGGTCTGCAGCTTGGCAGGTATCTTGCCCAGGTATCACGTCATCCACCATCCCCTCCACCTCCTGATGACAAACTCATCTTATATAATTCATCACTTTAGAAACAAAGAAATGATACGTATGACACCTGCAAAGAGAACATATTTGTGGTTTGTAGAAACGTACAATGCCAACATTTTCTATAGCAATTAGGCTGTCTCCACAGCAGCATTTTTCAAAAGCACATATATTTTACGACAATGCAGTCCAACCCAAGAACACAATAATGAAACTATCGTCAATATGGAAGGTAGTAAAGTTACCAGTACATTAATCCAGTATCACAATAGGAAGTTGGCACTGGCTGGAAACAGCAGATATGTTGCATTTGCACGTTATTATGTAGGGGCTCCTTAATAAATCATAATGTTTCAACAGAACTGTGGTTAAGCTGTTGTTAAGCTTAGTCACAAAAACCACTTGGTTATGGTTTAGAAAAGATCATGTTTTGGCTTAAAATATCTGGTAAAGTGGACACAGTGCCCACTGGAAAAGCAGCAATGTCTTGGTAAAAAAAACCAAAACACTTCATGTCACTATCCTTGCTGAAGAAACAGCCACGGGTCACTTAAAACATCCACATTTGGTGGCTAAAAAGCCACTGCAATCACAGCGCATCTTCCACCATTCCCTCTACCTCCCAATGTCATAGTCAGCTCATATACTACATCACTTTAGAAGTGTTGATATGAATCATATGAAAAGTACAAATGTAAGGTATTTATGGTTTGTAGAAACAATGCCAACATTTTCTTCTGGCAACTGGGCTCGAAATGGGATGTGATAATGTATCTGAATGCATGTGGGTGCATTGCAAATAGCACTGAGTGTGTTGCATGTCATTCAGTTTATGTGTCTGCACATATGAGTGCATATGTGCCAGTTCATGTACCATCTGCTGATCCCATCATATGTTTCTGTGACATCATCTCCAGTCAAATCCTGTCTTTTCCCATCATACCTGCAACCTGATCTGCTCACACATACTCACCATGAAGCTCACTACGCCCAGATTAAATCCCCTTCCCAATTAGTATGATGAATCAATGTTTAATAGTGCTAAAACAAGGCGGTCAGCCTGTAAAGCTCCAGAGGAAATGAGGCCGAGAGGTCAGAGCCAAATCCAGCGCCTCCCTTCCCTGTTGGCCATGCTGAGCTAGCAGCCAACAGCTGTTTGCTTGGCAGGAACTCAACATTAAACACTGACATATATTCACAGGCTGCTAAGCCTGGAATTGCTCTCTGTCATTTTTAGGACTGTAAGCAACAGCCATGAGGCAGTATCCACAGAAGAGAATAATTAGGAAAAAATATATGAAGTAAACAAGAAAAAATCTCCAGGGTGAATCCTGTAATTGATTTTCAGTCTAAATTTGCCCATAACTCAAGCACTAGTCATTTTACTGTTGCTGGTACTTTCCAACATGTTGTACCATGCCCTCAGGCCAAGAAAATAAATGATTATGCCAAGCAAAGGATGTAGCTTATTTCAGCACAGGCTATAAAAGGTGGAATGTTTACTAGAGCCAAATAGGAAGACTGAAAGAGGGAAAGAGAGAGAATGTGGGGTTGAGGAAGTTGAAATCAGCTCTGACAGGTAGAACTAGGAGAGCAGCTTTTGTGCAAGAGGTGTAGACAGACGAATATGGTGGATGTAAGACACAAAAAGCCCAGTAAGCATCAGCAAGGACAACAAAAAAAAAAACACTTTAGGGTGAATTATGACAAGTAATCATGTACTTCAAGATGGAAAGCAAGGCAAGATATATTCAAAAATGAATAACCTCAGTAGTTATTTTGTTCATTTTGCAAAAACAGATTAAAGCCAATCTTATTTTTTATTATTATAAAAAAAATTATTGCATA